TGCTTTTAGCTTGTGTTCTGCTGATTTTAAATATTGTTCGGCTGCTTTTAGCTTGTGTTCTGCTGTTTGAGCTTGTTTTCTGGTGACTATACTTTGTGTAAACATTAGCAGCTCAGCTTTAGCTTCTTTAGCTCGCTGCAGAATCAGTTTCTGTAGCTCAGCGTGAGATTTGTAGCTCAACAGGAAGTAGGAAGTGGTTTGTTTTTAACAGATGTTTTAATATGAAATATATTATCTTCCATCTTATGTAAGTTTGATTTTAATCGTGTCTCAGTTTTAGAACCGCAGTAAGCGAGGTTGCCATTATTTTATCTGAAGTCTGGACTCGAAGCGAGGAGGAAACATCAGAAAGAAGCTTCTTCACAGCAGATGTGAGCGTTCGTTTCTGTTGGTCTGTTAGTAAAATATCTGATGAACCAGAGGAGGAAGCAGACCCTCCTCGGGACTCACTGGATGTGCTGGAGGTGCTGCTGGTCTTCCAGCTCCCTCTCAGGATGGGCGGAGCTGCTGGCGGCGGCGGCGGCGGCGGCAGCGGTTGGCTGACCATCCTGGGCGTCGACTCGTACACGTCGCATTCCACCGTCACGCCGGAGCCCCAGAACAGGTTCCTCTGGAGCGGGGCGGTGATTTCATACTCTGAACCGTTTCGACCGGACAGATTTAATGACGGGAACAGTTTATATCAGTCAGATAAAAAGGAGGTAAAACAAATCAAACCTGTTTCTTTGCCAGTTTTTTCCCGCTCTTTGTGACGCCTGGTGATGCTTTTCCGTAATTTATCCAGATTATCCTTTAACAGAAAAAGAGACAGGAGTTAGGCGTAACGCTGAGTCAGCATTTTTCTCTCCTCCGATGTCCCGTTTTTTCATTCTAACTACTTCTGCTGACGTTGTGCTGTTTTAGCTGTTCATACATCAAAACTTTCGGCTCATTCAGGAGATGGGTGTTCATTTAGTAAGTTTTATACTTTTTTTAAAAAAATAATTAAATTCAAAATAATGAACTATGAGACCTTTTTGTCTGCTTATGCTACTATAAAGTTTAGCCAATGCTCTGATACTTCTAGCTTTTAGCTTCTTTTTAGCAAACCTCTTTTATGATTTGTAGTTAGTCTTTTGCCACTTTTAGGTATACCCCGCCTTCAGCTATTTTTATCAAGTGTTTTGCTACTTTTAGCTAGCCTTTTGCTTTCTCAAACTTTTAGTTATTGTGTAGCTTTTTTAAGCTTTTAGCTAGCAATTTACAATGCATGGCTGTAAGCTAACATCTCACTGTTTTTGTTTTTTAGCTAGCATTTTTCTACTTTCTACCTTTAAGGTCTAGCTAGCATTAGGCTCCGTTCAGCTAGTTATACATTTTCTTTTGGGTTTAGTTAGCCTTTTTCTATTTTAGCTTCCAGCTACATTTTGTTACTTTTAGCTAGCATTTCACAACTTTAACATGTCTTCCTATCTTTACGTTTCAGTTAGCATATTGCTACTTTCAGATAGACTTTTGTTACTTTTAATTTTTAGATAATGTGTAGATTTTTATTATTTTAGAGAGCAATTTACTATTCGTGGCTTTGAGCTAGCAGCTCTGTGATTTTTGGCTTTTAACTAGCACAGACATTATTATGCTACTTTTAGCTTCTCGCTAGCCTTTTCTACCTTTAAGTTTTAACTAGCCTTTTGTTACTTTTACTGTAGTTAGTGTGTAATTATTATCTTTTAGCTTTTAGCTAGCGATTCACTACTTCTGTTTTTGAGCAAGCATCTCACTGTTTTTGTTTTATAACTAATATTTTTCAGCTTTTACCAAGTCATTTTCTACCTTTAAGTTTTAGTTAGCCGTTTACAACTTTTACCTTCAGTTAGTGTGTTACTGCTGTTTTGCTTTTAGCTAGCAATTATCTTCTCACTGGTTTTGGTTTTAGGTTAGTAATTTTCTCTTTTCTTCAGCTCTCTGGTTCAGACTGAATTTTATCAGGAAATGTTTTCTTCTCTCTGGTCTGTTGCTGATGTCAGAGGACCTACCTGCTGGAACCGGATGGAGCTGGCTCTCCGTTCGTGGTCCACCTGCCAGGCTTTAAACTCGTGGACGGCTTCGTCCACAGAGATGTCCCCCACTTTGACCCTCTCCTGCAGGGAGATGAGCTGCCTCTGGCCCGGGGTTTTCATCCCAGCGTATGGGTCGTGAGTCGAAGTTAAGGGTTCACCCACAGGTTGCGCTATGTTAATAAAAAAAAACTATTATTTAAGAAAAAGACATGAAACAAACAAAAAAAACATCTGGTCAGAGAAATTTGTGCTCAGGTTTATCTCATATCTCTGATTTTTTTCATTGTTGAGTATGAAATCCACGAGATCCGATTTTACAGAAGCTGTCATGTTGCATTTTTGGAACCAGACTCTGAGCAGAAGGCATTTGGGCTTTAAGCTCCGCCCACATTTATGTTTTCACAAAATTTATGTTAGTCAGTAAATAAGTAATTACAGCTGAATGTACAGCTGAAAGCTAAAAACAACATGCCTAGTATTTCTGGAGTATTTTTCTGTACTTTTTAAATTATTTTTTTTTACAAAAACAATGTCTTGATTGTTTAGGGGCGGAGCCTAAAACTATCAAGTCAGCTTCAACTTCCCGGGTTTTGTCAGATGTTTAGATTTCAGYTAAATGTTGGATGTAAATGAATTCTCAGAACCCAACTGGCTGAGTTCTACACTTAAATGAGGTTTGGACGTGATGTTGGGCCCAAATTAAGACAAGATAAAACTTCAATGATCCCACAGTGGGGAAATTTGCACATTACTGCAGCTCAATCATTCAACCATAAGAATAAAAACAAATATATTTTATTTCTGCTCTTCTGTATAATACGTGTGTATATCCTGTGTGGTTATTTATAAATGTGTTAAAACATCAAGAAATTAGAGTTTAAAATAATACAATAATACTTTTACCTGCAAAATATCCGGATTCTGTGTTTTTACTCTGCGACGAACTTTTATCTGAAAAAACTGAAAATGATGTTGAATTAGAACTTTTGTCTGAAAATCAGCTTGAAAATATGAATAAATGTGATAACATTAAAAAGTAACATAAATACCTCTAGAAATGTAGGCCGAGGGCTTTTCGGACTCGGACTCGGGTCTGGGGATTGGTGCCGGTGGACGGTTCAGGACGGCCGGATTATACGTTGTGTTTGTGTCCACGGTATCGTAGATGTCCTCCGGGCACAGGTTGTACGGATCCTCCTCTTCTTCAATTTCATCAAAGTTTATGCCGTCAGATTTTTCATTTTCCTCTCTTTTAGGTTGGACCGAGTTGATTTCGGCATGGTGTGGCTTTGCTGATGAAAGTAAAAACACACACACACAAAAAAAGTATAAATATGACACTTTATAAAGTCATTTGAAGCTTATGTGGTGTTGTAGAAGTATTAAAAGAAATATGGGGAAATATCCATGGTCTTATTATCTTCCGAGCTAATGTATACATGGCAATATATGGCATTAGCTCCCAAGCTAATATATACTGTATATATGGTAATATAGAGTTAGCTCCAGAGCTAATGAAGTATATATGGCAATATATAGCATTAGCTCTTGAGCTAATGTATGGAAATATATAGTGTTAGCTCCCGAGCTAGTGTGTATAAAACGATGGTGCAAATTTACATGACAAACTGCAAAAACACGCACCTTGGAAAAACTTTCTGAGCAAGGCTTCCTCGGGATTCTCGTCTACGGCTGTCATCACTTCATCTGAAAACCAAATTTGGATAAAACAAAGGGTTACAGGAAGCAGACCACATTTTTGCTGTTGGTTTAAAAGGATAAAGTAAAAGGAGAAAGTAAAATATGATCTTACAGAGGTCCTCTGCACACTCCGGGTCAATCCCAACCATCGATTCGTAAATGTCCTCGGAGCAGCCCGTGTACTCTATGATGTCTGCAAACGTGGACATCGGCTCGTAGACCTCGGCGTCGTTCTGTAGGTTCATGTTGTCCTCAAACTGAGACTTCAGCGTCTTTTCTGTCTCCTGGGTGGATTTAAGCACAACAGCCACACATTTAGAAAAATAGGCGAACAATAAGAGTAATGTGGGCTTGTTGTAAATATCTGGCTGGAAATTCAACAAAAACTATAAAGTACAATCTGAGTACGGCGTTGATTATCTGTGAACTTTGAATTTAAAGGTGCACTCTGGTCAATTTAGAAGTGACGTTAGTAATGTTCATAAAAAGTGTGGCTGTCAGTCGCTAAAACAGATTCATGGATTCACTGCAGAGATGCCGGTAAAGGTTAAACTGCGCCCATTCCACCTTCACCTGAAGTCCAGTTTCCCTTTATTGTTAATTAACTTAGCAGCACTTTCTGTTTTTTAAAATGTTTGTATTTTTAGCCAAGTTTTATCAACGGTTATCCTAAAAGTTAATTTTTGGTAAAGGTTAGTAAAGGTTAAACTAACCCCATCTACCTTCCCTTGATCAAGTCCAKTTTCCCTTTATTGTTAATTAAATCAGCAGCACTTTTTATTTTTTTTAAATGTTTGTATTTTTAGCCAAGTTTTATCAACGGTTACCCTAAAAGTCTACTTTTTGGTAAAAATTGGTAAAAGTTAAACTACGCCCATTCCACCTTCTCTTGAAGTCCAGTTTCCCTTTATTGTTAATTAACTTAGCAGCACTTTTTGTTTTTTAAAATGTTTGTATTTTTAGCCAAGTTTTATCAACGGTTACCCTAAAAGTCTACTTTTTGGTAAAAATTGGTAAAGGTTAAACTAACCTCATCCACCTTCCTTTGATCAAGTCCAGTTTCCCTTTACTGTTAATTAAATTAGCAGCACTTGTTATTTTTTTAAAACATTTTTTTAGCCTTTTTTTATTAATGGTTACCCTAAAAGTCTAACATTTGGTAAAGGTTTGTGGTCCCTTTTATCTTTTACTTGTTTTTGTGTTTTTGTGTTTTGTGTTTGTTATTTTTTCCTTTGCTTCATTGTTTTGTTTCTTTGATTTCCATTTTTGTTACACTTCTCTGTATTTTTTCCCACAGTTACTGTCTGCTCATCAATTTGGCCACGCCCATCATGCCTGTTGCTTATTCCCATGAGTCTCACTTTTTTGTTTCCTCCATTTGTCACGACTCTCCTGTGGAACGTTATTGGTTTCTACTCCATGTCTGGTCACAATCTTTGTGTTTTTTTTTTCTAGATTTTAGTTTAAATTAAATTTATTTAGTTTTTTGTGTTTTTTAGTCCCAACCTCTGACAACTAAACCTCTGAGCAGATCGAGGATTTTACCGGGATGTCGTTGGACACCATCTCCTCGTAGATCTCCGCCTCGTTCTGCAGGTTCATGCTGTCCTCAGACTGAGACTTCAGTGTRTCTTCTGTCTCCTTGGTGGATTTAAACACATTTAAATAGAAAAACAGAGTAAGGTTAAAATATTAGGACAATATTTCACATTAGAGAGTAATTAAAGAACTTACAACAATCTGATCCATAAAACGTCTGAGGTCTCTGAAGCCGCTCTTCTCGGCCAGCGTGTTGGGATAGTCTCCGTTCTTGTTCATCACGCTGTAGGCCTGCAGAGCACCGGGGCACTGGAGGAGGGTGGTGGTGAGCTTCTTCAGCCCGAATTTAGCAGCAAAGTGGAGCAAAGTGGGAAACTCCTCGTTACGCTGATCTGAAACAGAAAAAACCAGTCAGACTAAAAAAAAAAAAAAAATCAGTAGCTGATTTACTTATTTACAGCTCAACTCACAGGCAGACATGTTGTGTTCTTCGATCTGCATGACTCCGAAGAGCTGGAGGCCGCCTGCGGGCATCCTGGACTTTAACGAGTCCGTTAGCATCACGTCCAGCGAGTGGGTCGAGTCGGAGGTGAAGTCAAAGGCCTGAGGAAGGAAACCAGAGGTCGCGTTAA